TCACCTTGTGTGGTAACAGGTGGTAACCTCACTCTTCATGGGGACCATTTCCTGTTGTATAGAAATGTCGAGCCACTATGACATACCCTTGAAACTAATATAATATTATATGTCCACTATACTTCAGTAAGAAGTTTTTAAAATAACGTCCCCTCAAAAAACATGACAGAAAAAATGAACAAGGAATCATAAAATCACACGAATATTCACTTACTATTTTGGGGAGCATCTGTAGCACTGACATAATGTGTACATAAAGGAAAGAACTGTTTTACATAGTCAGTATTTAATTTAAGAATCACTTGTTCTATGCAGATATAACACTCTATGCATTTCATTACTCCTTCATGTCACAGTGTTTATTCCCTTCTTCCTTTCTCTCAAATGCTTTTATTTCTTGCCCTTTTTATTATAATTATACTTTTGAAAACCTCCCAATGCTTCTCTAATATTAAAATGAGTCACTAAGCCTTACTTTAGCATAAGTTATAGAAAGACAAAGTCACCTTTCTCGATTAGTAAGTACTTAATGAACATTGCTGAATACACTAATAGGTATTGACAACGTGTAATGATTCTTAACTCCAAGTCACTTTATTTCCCCTTTGTAACTGGGACCTATAATATCTGTTCTGTCTCCCCCTCAAGTCACTGTGGACACAAAACAAGATACTCATCAAACAAATACTCATCATCTTCTCTGATTAGGGGCTGTCCATGCAAAAACTGACAAAACCTTCAAAAACCACCACTCTCCAGGCATCCACAGTTCAGTGGACAGAGACGCACTGATGTGGAGAAAATACAGAAAGTGGAGTCTGGCAGAAAGGGTGCTGAAACTTCACATAGTAACAACGATGAAGAACTGATAAGAGGGTGACTTCCTGAAGCAACAAACTGAAAAGGAAGAAAAAAAGCCAATAAGGCTATTCTAGGAAGATTAAAGAACAATGCAAAGATATCTTCCCTTGGAATGCTAGTGATGTGAACATGTGCAGGGCTCATGCACAGAGGTGCAGAAAGTCCCAGCTGACAAGTTCCCTAAAACTCAAATGTTTCACATCTTTGAGAGTTGGATTCATTTCCATCTATACCTTTCCCATCAACGATAACAATGAGCCTCAGTAAAGAACAGTGTTTGGCTGTTAGTGGCAGCTTCTCTTCAAGAAATGTCTATAAGAAAATGCTTTGAAAAAAGCTTAATTACTTACATGACATCATCAAAATGGAAGAGTAGTTATTTTCATGTATTTTTGCATCCAGAAAACCCCAGAAAGGGAATAGATAGTGATTACAGGCACAGAGGAAAATGGAAGGGAAAAGATCAGGCTGTGGGGATTTCAGATTCACAGACACAGCAGGAATCTGGACTCGAGGGGCTCAGTGGAAGAAGGCCTCCTCTCTTGCATGCCACTGAGTGACTGCCTGGGGGTTCTAGAACGGTCTGGACTCACAGCTCAGTGACTTGTGTGGGGTCCGGAAATATGCAACTGCAGAAGAGCAGATGTACTGATAGGTGGAGAGACGAGAAAAAGACGGTGAACATTTTGTGTTCACAGAGAAGGAAGATCACAGCTTTGTGCAGCTGTGTCAGGCCAGAGTGAAGAGTGAATCCGCTCAACAAGGCATTTGTGGGTTTGCTAGTGCACAGCAGGGACAACCCCACCTGATGGAGAAAGAGCCCGCAAAGGAGTGGCTCAAGGACGGTAGGAAGCTGAATGTTGGCCAGGGAGACAAAAGGAATTTTCAGCAAGCCTGTTAGCAGGTAACTTAGTTGAGGTCTAAGTTCTGCTACGGAAATACTAATGATTGCATTTACGTATACTGAGCTAATGGGGGAGATTTTTGGCTTCCGTTTGAGACTTCAATACAAAATCCTCTGGACTAAAAGGAAATTAAACTACAAAAATTTAACTCTACCTCTGATTTGCATCTTTTTTCTCACCTTTCTTTGAGGAAGTTCATGGGTGCTTCTCTCAGATGTAAAATGTCCTGGCATTTATACCAGCAAGTGGGAGGTACAGACCTGCTCTCATGTAAATTTCATGGGGCTTCAGAGTTGGAGAAATGAGTGCCATCCAGGGAACCAGACCCTTTGGGAATAATTGGAGCTCTCCTGGATCAGGAAGCTAATCATATGTCTCAATCATATTTCCCATAATTCCCTATTTAATATTGTCCCAAGAGATCACTGGAAGGCAAAAAAGTTTCCTATTGAAATTTTGCAGTTCTGATTTTTAAGTTTTCTTTTTCTTTTATTCTACAACTGCCTGCTCACCTAAAATCCAGTGCTCTTAGCAATGTCTTCTGGTGAACACTGAAGTCCTGGGAGGGGTAAATCATATACAGGACTGTGAAACACACAGGGTCATTGGCAAACACCTTGGTGAGCACTTCGTAATTTTGGGCATATCTCATGAAGGTAACTGAATTGATTCTCAAATGCATTTCTTACAGGTAAGGACTCCATCCTGCACTTTTGGCTAAAGAAACAGAGGCTCCTCTGAGTGAATAGTGATGGACTAATTCACTTAGAGTCTCTTGGCTGGCAAGTGGCAGGGTGGGATTGAACCCCTGTATTCACACACACTCAGTTGACTCTTTCCCAAATGTAGGTCTCTGCCGTGCCTCAACCTGCAGAGCCCGCACTTCCTTCTAGCACCATTTTAATATGTCCCCAGCTTGCCTCCAGTCAGTGCTTTCCTTATTCCCTTCAAATTCTCATTGTGCCTGGTGGGGACAAGGGCTGCAGTTGACATCTTCACAAAAGACGCTCTCTCTGCCTCCACAGACGTGGGGCTGACCTCCATCCTCCCTGCTGTCCTAGGGCACTGCCCCCATCCTTGTCTAACTCACTCTGTTGTATTACCTGCTAATGTTTCTATTCCCATCACTAGACTGTAGACCCTAATGGGTAAAGACAGTGATCTCCACAGGTAGCACAGGTCCTGAGCCTGGGGGAAAATGGTGATCAGCTAATGCTTGCTGAATAATACTAGGGGTGTGCAATGTGCACTTAATTCAGTAAATATGCAGCAAATCCTGCTAATTCTGTCCCTGATACCTTTACATTATATTGAGCACATTTCCTTATCCATCAAAAGTGAAATTCTGTACGGAGATGAACTGGTAAGTGACTAAAGTGTCTGAGATACAGGAGTAAAGAAACAGAATGGTGAGAATTAATAATACACAATAAGCATAGAGTACCTACTATCTTCTAGGCTCAGCACTTTACAAGCCTCAGCTCAGTGAATCCTCACACAGCTCTATGGGTCACTAGTATCATTATCTTCCTTTTACAGATGGGAAACTGAGGCATAGAGAGGTTAAGTGACTTTCCCTGGCATATACAAATGATCTACTGTGAGCCTGGGATTCAAAAAGGGAAAACATTAGTCTGGGAAAACTCACTGTTGATAGTTGTGCCGTGGTGACATGCTCACACCATACTAACCATTCTCCAGCTACAGCGGCATTCATTCGTATAGTTAATAAATATAGAGGGAAAACCTTCCTTCACCACTGCACTATCAATGCAGAGAGAGCAAAAGGGAAGTGAAAAACTTTGTAAAAGCTTCTGGCTCATGGGGGGAGGGAAGAGATATGCATATTTAAAATTTCAGGGTGAGAGTGTTCATTGTTAAGAATTCACAAAGATCACATTGGGACGTGGTAAAGAGTAGAGCTTGCCCTCCCATAGCCTGAATGTAAAGGGCACAGTGACAGTTTATGAACTCAATAGCTATTAATAAGAACCACCTAAATTCTAGATTATGGTATAAATATGAGTTTTAAAATAATCACAGGTCTTACTACAGACTGTAAGTAACTTTGTCTTTCTCATTCTCATAGCCACCATTACTGGATCAGTGAAGTTGTTTTCATGTGTCTTACAAAAAAAATGATGGATGTGGTCTCTGGAAAGAACACAGGTACTCCTGAACATTTTAATGGCATCTTGTGGCACAGATCCTTCAAGGAAATATCTGTTTCTAGCTTCCATATAGTGGCTTGGAAAGCTATTTTTATAAAAATAGTTTGTATTGATGAATATATTCACGAACTAGTCCTAGAATTAGACCTCAGAAACTGATGCATATATGGAAACTTCATAGATGACAGACTTTACACTAAAAACCTAATGAAAAAAATACGGAGAATTCAAAACATGGAAAACTGATCATTTTCATTAAAAAATAGAGTTAGTTTCTGCCTGACAACATTTATAACACCAAGAATAATACAGACTTAAATATACAAAAGTAACTTGGAAACATGAAAGAAAAGAAAGAACAGCTTTATAGTAAAAAAGAATAGTTTAGACAAGATATACAAGACACACAAAAAAGATTAATAAATTTGAATTTTGTTTAAATAAAAAGTTCTGCACCACCAAATGTATCATACACAAAAATTAAATACAAACAACTAACAGGTTGAAAATATTTGCACTGGATATATCATTAGGAGTTTAGTACCTAGTACAGAATACATGAATAGCTGTTACAAATATAAGAATTAAAGATAAAAAGTAACACCTTAAAATTGGGCAGAGGATATGAACATACAACTGAAAGAAAGAGAAATCTCCAACTATTATCAAAGCATTTAGAAACATTTCACTTTGCTTGGAAGAGCATGGAATATATCACTGAAAAACACTGCTACATGAATTAGCCTAGATAATCTAAAGGGATTTAGTGAAAATTAAAATAAACTGAAGAAAGATACATACAGTAAAGACATGTTTATTGAGTTTATCTGGCAAAATAATACTGTATAATTCTGTGTATATATAAACACAACACATATTAAGACTCGACATGAGGATAAAAAACATTAAATTTATGTTAGAGTTCCATGCAGGAAATAAGGAGAGAAACAGAATCAGGCAGTGAGATCTCAATTTAAGAGTAACTGGTCACCTGATACATTGGAAATAAGAGTTGTATTGTGTGTTGACTTAATGATTTCTTATGCTTGTAGAGGTGGTCTTCTCATTTATTTAGTAAACAATTCTTGTGGAAAACTTCCTTGATTGTTCTTTTAACATCTTTGTTGCGTAGGCTGTAGATGAAAGGGTTTAACATGGGGCTCACAAAGATATAAAGAACAGCTACAATTTTTCCCTGCTCTACTGATGCGTCAGAAAGGGGTCTCAGATACATGCAGAACAACGTCCCGTAAAAGACAGTGACAGCGGTCAAATGGGACCCACACGTGGAGAAGGCCTTTTGCCTCCCATCAGCAGAGCGGATACGCAGAATGGCTGTGAAAATGAAAATGTAGGAGATGAGGATGATGGTGAGAGAGCAGGTGAGGTTGGAACCAGCCCCCACCAACATGGCCATTTCTTTGACATACGTATCCGAGCAGGCAAGGACTAGGAGAGGTGGGTCTGCACAGTAGAAGTGGTTGATCTCATTGGGTCCACAGAAGGAGAGACGAAGCATCAGGATGGTCTGGACCAGACCATTTGCAAAGCCATAAATATAAGGAGCGGCAACAAGAGAGAGGCAGGCACATCTGGACATTTGGCTGCCATATAACAAAGGCTTGCATAAGGAAATTAACACAAAAATTTAACTCTATCTCTGATTTGCATCTTTTTTTCTCACCTTTCATTAAAGAAGTTCATGGGCGCCTCTCTCAGATGTAAAATGTCCTGGCATTTATACCAGCAAGTGGGAGGTACAGACCTGCTCTCATGTAAATTTCATGGGGCTTCAGAGTTGGAGAAATGAGTGCCATCCAGGGAACCAGACCCTTTGGGAATAATTGGAGCTCTCCGGAATCAGGAAGCTAATCATATGTCTCAGTCATATTTCCCAAAACTCCATTTTTAATATTGTTTCAAGAGATCTCTGGAAGGCAAAAAAGTTTCCTATTGAAATTTTGCAGTTATGATTTTTAAGTTTTCTTTTATTCTATGACTCCTGCTCCCTAAAATCCAGCACTCTTAGCAATGTCTTCTGGTGAACATTGAAGTCCTGGGAGGGGTGAGTCATATACAGGACTGGGAGACACACAGGGTCATTGGCAAACACCTTGGTGAGCACTTTACACCTGTGAGCATCTCTCATGAAGCTAACTGAAGTGATTCTCAACTACAGTTCTTAGAGGTAGGAACTCCATCCTGCACTTTTGGGTAAAGGAACAGAGGCTCCTCTGAGTGAATAGTGATGGACTAATTCACATAGAGCCTCGTAGCTGCAAGTGGCAGGGTGGGATTGAACCCCTGTATTCACACACAGCCAGTTGACTTTTTCCCAAATGTAGGTATCTGCCATGCCTCAACCTGCAGAGCCCGCGCTTCCTTCTAGCACCATTTTGATATGTCCCCAGCTTCCCTCCAGTCAGTGCATTCCTTATTCTCTTCAAATTCTCATTGCGCCTGGTGGGGACAAGGGCTGCAGTTGACATATTCACAAAAGATGCTCTCTCTGCCTCCACAGACGTGGGGCTGACCTCCATCGTCCCTGCTGTCCTAGGGCGCTGCCCCCATCCTTGTCTAACACACTCTGTTGTATTACCTGCTAATGTTTCTATTCCCATCACTAGACTGCAGACCCTAAATGGCAAGAACAGTGATCTCCACAGCTAGCACAGGTCCTGAGCCTGGGGGAAAACGGTGATCAGCTAATGCTTGCTGAATAATATAAGGGGTATGCAATATGCACTTAATTCAGTGAATATGAACAAATCCTAGTAATTCCCTCCCTGGGACCTTTACATTATATTGAATATATTTCCTTATCCCTCAAAAATGAAATTCTGTAGGGAGATGAACTGGGGTGAGTGACTAACTTGTCTGAGATAGAGGAGGAAAGAAACGGAATGGTAAGAATTAATAATACAAAATAAGCATAGAGTACCTACTATCTGCCAGGCATCAGGCTCAGCACTTTACAAGCCTCAGCTCAGTGAATCCTCACACAGCTCTATGGGTCATTAGTATCATTATCTTCCTTTTACAGATGGAAAACTGACTCATAGAGAGGTTAAGTGACTTTCCCTGGCATATAAATAATCTACTGTGAGCCTGGGATTCAAACAGGGAAAACATTAGTCCGTGAAAACTCACTGTTGGTAGTTGTGCAGTGGTGACATGCTCACACCATACTAACCATTCTTCAGCTATAGCGGCATTCATCCATTCATTTATTTGTAGAGTTATTAATAAATATTCAGGGAAAACCTTCCTTCACCACTATACAGTCAATGCAGAGAGCAAAAGTGTAGTGAAAGACTTTGTAAGAGTTTCTGGTTCATGGTGGGATTGAAGAGATAATGCATATTTAAAATTCAAGATAAGGGTGTTGATTCTTAAGAATTCACAACGATCACATTGGGATGTGGTGAAGAGTAGAGCTTGCCCTCCCATAGTCAGAACGCAAGGGGCACAGTGATAGTTTATGAGCTCAATAGCTATTAATGAGAACCACCTATATTCTTGATTATGGGATAAATATGAGCTTTAAAATAACCACAGACCTAATTACAGACTGTAAGTAACTTTGTCTTTCTCATTCTCATAGCCACCATTACTGGATCAATGAAGCTCTTTTCGTGTGTCTTACAAAAAAATATGATGGATGTGGACTCTGGAAAGAGCACAGTTACTCCTGAACATTGTAATGGCATCTTGTGGCATAGATCCTTCAAGAAAATACTCTTTTTCTAGCTTCCATATGATGGCTGGAAAAGCTTTTTTTATACAAATAGTTTGTATTGATGAATAAATTCATGAACTGTTCCTAGAATTAGAACTCAGAAACAAACTGATGCATATATGAAAACTTGGTAGATGGCAGAGTTTACACTAAAAACCTAATGAAAAAAAATGGAGTGTTCAAAACATGAAAAACTGATTATTTTCATTAAAAAATAGAGTTAGATTCTGCTATGCAACATTTATAATACTAACAAAAATACAGACTTAACTATGCAAAAGTAATACTTTAAAACATGAAAGAAAGAACAGCTTTATAATAAAAAAGAATAGATTAGACAAGATACACAAGACACAAAAAAAGATTAATAAATTTAAATTTTGTTTAAATAAAAAGTTCTGCACCACCAAATATATCATGCATGAAAATTAAATACAAACTACAAACAGGTTGAAAATATTTGCACCTGGTATATCATTAAGAGTTTAGTAACTAATACAGAATACACGAATAGCTGTTACAAATATAGGAATTAAAGATAAAAAGTAACACCTTAAAATTGGGCAGAGGATATGGCCATACAACTGAAAGAAAAAAATCTCCAACTATTATCGAAGCGTTTAGAAACATTTCACTTTGCTTGGAATGGCATAGAAAATAGCTGAAAAACACTGCTATATGAACAAGCATGTATAATCTAAAAGTGTTTAGTGAAAATTAAAATAAATTAAAGAATGATACATAGAGTAAATTCATGTTTATTGAGTTTATCTGGCAACATAATACTATATAATTCTGTGTATATATAAACACGAACAAATATTAAGGCTCTACATGAGGATAAAAAACATTTAATTTATCTTTGAGTTCCATGCAGGAAATGAGGAGAGGAACAGAATGAGGCAGGGAGATCTCAATTTAACAGTATCTGAGCATCTGAAACATTGGAAATAAGAGGTGTATTGTGTGTTAATCTTGTACAGGTGGTCTTTTCATTTATTTAGCAAACAATTCCTTGTAGAAAACGTTCCTGATTGCTCTTTTAACATCTTTGTTGCGTAGGCTATAGATGAAAGGGTTTAACATGGGGCTCACAAAGATAAAAAAGACAGCTGCAATTTTTCCCTGCTCTACTGATGCCTCAGAAAGGGGTCTCACATATGTGCAGAACAACGTCCCGAAAAAGACGGTGACAGCGGTCAAATGGGACCCACACGTGGAGAAAGCTTTTTGCCTCCCATCAGCAGAGCGGATACGCAGAATGGCTGTGAAAATGAAAATGTAAGACATGAGAATGATGGTGAGAGAGCAGGTGAGGTTGGAACCAGCCCCCACGAACATGGTAATTTCTTTGACATAAGTATCCGAGCAGGCAAGGCCTAAGAGAGGTGGTTCTGTACAATAAAAGTGGTTGATCTCATTGGGTCCACAGAAGGAGATACGAAGCATCAGGATGGTCTGGACCAGACCATTTGCAAAGCCATTAATATAAGGAGCGGCAACAAGAGAGAGGCAGACACGTCTGGACATTTGGCTGCTATATAACAAAGGCTTGCAGATGGCCACGTAGCGGTCATAAGCCATCACTGTGAGCATGTAGTAGTCTGTGATCCCCAGGACAATGAAAAAGTGGAATTGTATAAAGCAACGAATGACAGATATAGTTTTTCTCTTGGATAAGAAATGAACCAGCATCTGAGGAGAGACACTGGTGGTGTAACAGAGGTCTACAAAGGAGAGGTGGCTGAGGAAGAAGTACATTGGCGTGTGGAGTTTTGAGTCACTTCTAATTACCAAAATCATGCTCACGTTGCCAATCACGGTGATCAGGTAGACGACTAGGAAGACCACAAAGAGGACAGGCTGCAACTCGGGGAGATCTGTCAGTCCCAGGAGAATAAACTCAGTCACTGCCGTGTGGTTTTCCTCTAACATTGTGTTTGTTTGGCTTCAAATGAGGGCAAAAGTAAAGGAAATAAAAATGCATTGGTCATTTATCTGTCATGCCCATCATGTCATATGATCCTTTTTTCTCTTCTCTCAAATTTATACATGCAGGTGGCATAAAGAAATAACCTAGCAAACATGCAATTGATAGTGGAAATATATAAATTAATATAGGGAGCTCCTTATATAAAAAGACAATCATATTTTAAATACTTCCCTACAAGCCTCTTCACATTTGAAAAGACTATCTTTTCTGCCAGTTTTAATTACATTTTTGTACTTTTGCTTGCCTTTAACAATTTCATTAATCATGGCTTTTATTTAAACTTGTGATCTTTTTTTCCACAATATACTATTTGATGTGGTCTCTAAGCATCAGTCACTGAAGCTCATGTGCTTTTCACAGGTAAATTGATGTGGGGAGTGAAACTGCTGGATGGCACATATTGTTTTAAACTAGGATCTACTTACCTCTCTATCCTCAAGGTCATTTTCAAGCTCTTCCTTCCCCTGCCATGAATGACCATTCTCCCTGCTCCCATCTTCTGCAGGTGGCCTCACACCACCGAATCTTACTTCATTTTTAAGACTCAGCTCAGGGGCTTCTTTCCATCATGTATTATTACCAATTGTTGTGGCAAAATTGCTTCATGGGCACAAATGTAAATCAGTGTTTTTTGTAAGAAAACATATAAGCACACATACACATATATGTATTGATATATATGTATGAGTTTATGCATGTTAGATTGATATTTATATACACATGTATTAGTGGTATAAAATAATCAGTAGGGGAGTGATCACATGAAATAATAATGTATTAAAGTTTCCCTGGTGGGAGAGGAGGAAATATTGAAAAACTGTTGACAAATTCTTAATGATTTTGTTGTAATTCTACCTCATTTAAACTCTTAAAAATATTAAGAAAAATTAACATGAAT